TGAGACACACTTGAAAACTGAAAATAAAAATAACCTGCAACGTAGATGTACTAGAACAACACAAATACATCAAGGAATTAAGAGAACCTTGGCCCAGCCCATCTGGTCTTGCATAGATTCCCATCTTTTCAAGAAAAAGAGAAAACTTTCATTTCGTGCAAGGGAACTGCAAATACTGGCATTTTTAAGCCTGTTTTCAGGAAGGAGTTTCATATTGGTTTTATTTTCAAATGTGCGCAGTGCAGCCTGCTGGGCCAGGGAAAGCTCCTGGGTCCTCGCAGCCACCGGGAGCTCCGTACTATTGTGTGCTCCCTTCTCCTGGCTGTTCCCAGCTCTCTAACTCCCTCTGCCCGACAGCAGCCTGAATAACAATGACATTTGCTTCTGGCACGTGAAAAAGGAGAACACCTTGAAAACAACAACAAAAAAACCTTCTAAACTGGTAAATCCAGAAAAATTATTAGGCATTGAATTTAACTGGGAGTTGTCAGTTGTCACATAAATAAATGCTGCAGAACCAGGTCCACAGTACTAGTCATATGAAGAAGGGTTATGCTATGTTATTACAGTGAAAACAGTGTTATGATCCCTCCTATTCTATCTTTAAGGCCCAGATTTCAAAAATCATATTACTTTCTCTGGTTTTAATTTTTAATTAATTCTTGGCAAAGATCTAAGAGGCTTTTTTAAAACCAGTGTGTATTTTGTCTACCTGCCCATAAGCCTTTCTTCACTATTACCTCCCTTTCTTTTCTGAAACAAGATGCATCCTTTGGAATTCCAAGAGAGCAATAGGGGAAAAAAATGTTCAACAGGATGCTACACACAAGCTGGTACAATCCAAACATTCATCGGGCTCAACATGGCTCAGATGCTGAATTTATAAGTAAGCAAGTTTAATGATATGGAAAGACTATATTTAAACACTTTGGTTGGCAAATTCTTGTCTTCCACCTTTTCTTTTTTTTCTTTTTCCAAAGCCTTTAAAAAATCCATCTGGATACTTGTCAATCCTATAAACACATATTACAATGCACAGCTATGCAGTGGAGTTCTTTGACAAGCATCCTTCACAATTCTTTCACCTTCCTCATATGCCTGTATCACAGAAGAGGGAGCTGAGAAAATTTCTGGTGGAGAAGTGGTTTTTAATTCTCATATATCAACACTGGTAACTAGGAAAAGAATCTTCAGCCAGAGGGTGGTCTCTCACTGGACCAAGTTCCCAGGGAAATGGTCACGGCACCAAACCTGCTTGAGTTCAAGGAGCATCTGGATAACACTCTTGGTCATTTGGTTTAGCTTTAGGTAGTCCTGCAAGGAGCAGGGAATTAGAATCCTTGGTTCTTATGGCTCACTTCCATCCTGAGATATTCTAAGGTTCTATCATAAATACACTTACAAGAAGCATACACAACATAATTTTTACCTATTTGAGTAAAATGAATGCATGAAAATTAAAACCACAGGTGAAAAACTGGACCATTAAAAAAGGTCCCCTAGATCTCATCCAAAAGCAAAACATGGCAAATTTCTGGAACACTTCAGAGCCGTAAAGAAGTAGGACCTGGATGGGTCTTATGATCTGTCTACTACTTTCACTGCTCTTGGGCAGGAAAAAGTAAATACTGAAAGGTATTTGTTCATCCTGTTCTTAAAAATGGATGGTCCTTACAGATGGTCAACAACCTCCTAGCCTAGATGTCAATGTTTAGCTTACACTATCTTTGGAAAGCTTGCATGTTAGCCCACTATTTTATGTCCTACTCATAAGTGCAAACCGAACTTTATTCCCTTCATGTTTACAGCAATGTCCCACGTTTCTTAAGATTTATAACCAGAGAAAATAGAGTGGAAATGTAAGTCCTGCTCCTTTTTTGTCTCAAGTGTCCTAGTCAAGTGTTCTTCAGCTCTGTTTTTCCTCCACATATTCTCCAAGTAGTCTACAGCTTCCTTGAAGTGTAATGCCAAACCTAGATACATCATCTTTGGTTTTATCTCATCATTGCTGAGGAAAGTCTCCTATGTAACCACTCTGCTTACACATTGCAGCATTTTGTTTGAAGCCGCTTCCTCTTCACTCTAAGAAGGACACACTTGACCTGCCACGGAGATCTAAAGCTTTGCTTACAATATACAACATGAAATTAATTTAGTTTATGTCTTGATATTCCATTCTATTTCAACCATAATTCTGTGGTAAACACACAATGAAAAAGCTGGTATTAATGGCTCCCATGTGTGTATGTCTCAAAACTGAACAGTTGACACAACTGTGACCCCAAAAAAACCACTGGGGCAGCTAACCCAAAAGTCAGGGCTGGGAAACTAAAGCAAGAAACACCAGCTAAATTGAAAATTTCTAAGGAAAATAAAGAGCAAGCAATTCTTCAGCTGTATAAATAAGAAAGAATCAAGAGAAAAGAAATTATGCCATTATGTAGCCAGTGGAGTTCAGATAAAAATAACACAGATAATGGCTATAAAAGTAATGACCAGGCATTTGGGTTAAGATTCATCTGACCTGTTACAGCTGTTCCCTCAGAGTAACATTTTCAGAAATGCTTGCTTCTCTCTTCTCATCTAAGACAGACTGTGGCACCCACATGGGAGCCCATGGAGACTTTCAGGTAAGCACCAGAGCCACAACCCAAGCAACTTGCAGAAGCTTCAACAGGCCCCAGCAAGGGACACAGTAGAAGCAATCTTGGCCACTTCTGTACAGGCGAGCAGAGGGAAACAGAATGTGCTTCATCAAAAATAAGAATGCTTGTTTTATTACCCTCACTTTCTTGGCTTTTTCCCTGCTATAAAATCATCATGTGTTTGTACAATATTCTTATTCTGGGAATGTATTTCAGTCTACATAAACATCTGCACTTAGTTACGTTAGCCAGTATCCAAATCTCAGCAAGATCCTGCCCTGATTATTTAGCTCTGAATGTTTTTGCCAGCTTCTATTCCCAGAACACGCTGGATTTATAGCTATGTCCAACCTCCAGCTTTGCTAGTTAGAAGATTGTAACACACATGCTCAAACCAAACATCTTTTGTACTAGGACAAAGTCTTTCCAACAGGCTCAAGTAACAAGACATTAAATTGTGCTAGCATACATTAGCAGCAGGAAAGTGAACTATTGTTGGATGCAATTTTTTGATCTGTATTTTTAATCATATTGTTTGACCTACATCTTTTGTCCACTTTCCTTCATATCTAACAAGGAAATACAATCCTTAATTCAAATACCATTCGTTGCAATTTTGCACAACTCAGTGCAAAAGAACCCAGATCTCAAGTAAATAAACTGATAAGTCTTTTTTGTTGGGATCACTGTGTGGTTTTGTCTGCTGCCCTCCAGAGTTAGATCCAAACCATTAATAAAAAAGAGATATATACAGTTTCATCTGAGAAGACAAACAAAAACATGCAGGATATAAATCAAAACAAGGATTTGAAAAAGAATAGAGTAAGCACTTACTAAGCCAAAAACATATTGTTCTTGTGAAGAAGCCTGCTCTGACCATTGTGCTTTCCCCAAATGTACGTTTCTGGAGTTCCAGGCCAGAACATTTTTGGAGCATAAAGACATGAAGCATTCGATCCCAGCAAAATTCACTGTGATCCACCCAATTCTCATGGAGCTGAACTTCACCACAGTTGTGCACAAGCTTACCTTCCCAATGCAGCTCCTGGACAATTATCCTCTGACGGATATTTCCTTGAAGACTTATTTTACATGACTGATGACTGCCTCAAACTGTGAATATGCTAATGGGTAAATACATAACCTGACCTCCCACCCGACCCTTCCCTCCCAACATACAATCTGAAACCACATTTTAAGCTTTTCTTCAAGCAAGAAAACTGGTTTGGGATACACTTTCTTTGCATCTGGTTTGGATCTCTCAGTCAATGCTGAAATGCATCTACTTTGTTTTGGTGTGTGAAAACACATGCACTACAGAAATAAAAGCTTTAGAAACAAAAAGCAGAAAATAATTCTTAAAATTTATTTAAATCTTTTGAGTTTAATTACAAGTGATGTAACCAGTCAGCCCATGTAAGCTCACATATCCATTCCTATTTTCCCCTCTGAAATCCCAGCTCCTGGCTCTGAGCAAGACAGCTTTTTCAGCTCCTGGCCCTGCTCTGAAGCGGGCAGAGATGAGAAATGCCCAGCCACCGGCAGGACCAGGTTCAACTGTTTCCCTCCGGCCACTCACCCCACATAAGGGCAAACACAAACTTTTTTCTGGGACTGGACAGCCCTTGTCAGCACATACATTTTGAAGACTGACTACTCAATGCTGTCATCATTTAAAGACTGCCCCATCCAGTACCTGGCTGACAGACCCAAAGTTGCAGCCCTCCACCACAGCTCCTGTCCAAGTGGGGTGCCAGGGCCCCGCTTCTCCAGCTCCAAAATAACACCCCCTCCCCAGGATTCAAACAACAAAAATAGTCAAAAAAATAGTCAACAAAAATACCAGGTCAAGGTAAGGAGGGAGCCACAGAGATTTATGTACCCAATCCTTACCAATATCAGTCATTCTACTATCCAGACATGCATAAATCTATCTCAGAAAAGCTATCTGCACCATGAAAAAATACCAGGCTTCGAATTTTGTCTAAGCAGCTTTAAGCATACAGTGTGCTTTTCTAAGATAGAAATAATCCATAAATAAGAAGATTGGTAACAGGTACACAGCTGAAGGTCTCCTCCTCAGTCACTGTATACTGTGCTAGAAGTAGGTTCTGTTAAAGAGAAGACAAGCACTCAAGCGTTTGGCTTGGCCCCTCCCACGCATGTATCAAGAACACTCCAATATTCTCGTAACTAAACCAAGTCATGGACTGTGCTTCCAGAGCCCAGCTGTCCCTAATACTAAGGCTGTCAATAGAGCTTATAAAGTAGTAATACTACTACTAATGAAAACATACATAACTAAAGAGACAATACCTCTTCTGCCTCATTCACAATGATCTGAATCTTCAATTGTTAGAGAAAGGAAGACTTTTGTTTTTATTTATACAGAAGCACTAGCACACATCATTCTGGAAAAGCAAGCTCTAAATATCTCCTCGGTGGCTGGGAAAATAGGATGCCAAAGATCATATAATATTTTAAGTGTAAAAATGTATAAAATTTTATTTGACAAGTTAACAAATAGTAACATTTCATTAGTCCATTAAAACACTTTATTACAAAGAAGTGTAGTTGAGTTACAGCTACACTACATGAAAGTTAATTCTAAGGTGAACAAACCGACCTACTGGAGATTAGGCAGTTTAGAATGTACATGTCCACTGTATCTAGTTTATTTTTAAAATGTATTTTGTGCAACTAAAAATTTACTAGGTGTCAGACAACTTCAAAAACTTCTAACATAGCAAACTTCAGAACTATTATTCTCAGATGACATCATCTTTTTTCAGAGATAGCTGAAGTTTCCTCACAGCTTTCAGCAGCTGAAGAGAACTTCTGCTCTTCTGCCCAGGACAAGGTTTAGACATACTTTCCTTTACAGTGACTCCATTCCCCCTTGCTTCCTTTTGTTCACCACACTTTAGTTTGACATGAGTTGCCCCTTGCTTCAATTTTTGAGTTTTTCTCTTTAATTTCTGCACCTAGGAAAAAAAAAATTACTGATTAGCATGTTACATACTCCAAAGACCCACAGCTGTAGAGATGGCTGGACTTTTACTGAACTCCAACTACAGATGACTGAGACATTAAAAAAAAAAAAAAAGAAAAGTTTAAATTTAGTAATGTAGCACAGTTGTCTCACTGTAACAGAAAACTGACCTTGCCCATACAGAAACCACCACAGAAAACTGATCTCACCCACACTCAATTGGTTGTTGAATCCCTTTGCTCCCTAACATAAAAATGCTTGCATGAGAGAGCTGGAATATCATCTCTTAATAATCTATATTTACAATAGTCTCTTTCCATTTCGGATTGTACTATCCTAATAAAAAACCAAACAACCAATAAACCTCTAAAATGTACACTGTTAATTATCAGTTACTGGATCTAAGCAGCTTATTTTGAAGCCTCCCTAACAAAAGTGGAAAACAGAATAAATAGGGTTAATTGCTAAAGAATGTTTTTTAAAATGTCAAATCATGAGTCTTGACTTGCACTTGGCATGAAAAGGTCACTTCCCAAAGATAAAATTAAGCTGGAAGTATTCCAAATGCCAATTTAGGCTTTAAGTCCATTTCTAAAAATAATTAACTTTAATTGCATTCTAGAATATATTAACTGTGAAACACAGAGATTAACATGGCACTTTTAGCATGGCAGGTTCTAGAAAAAGAAATGTGCATTAGAAAGATTAAGATTGGTCTGTACAAAATACAAACAGAAATGTCTGTGTGCAAAAGTGCCAGATAAATAAAAAATACAGGCCAAGGAGTTAGAGGAATGGCCTGTGTTGATAACCAGGGCATGATGAACAGTAATTATGCAGACACTACTATTTACAGCATGACCCTAAGGGGTGTGCTCTGACCAGGCTGCACCAGAGCACAGAGGACTTGCCAGAAGACCTGTACACTGGTAAGAGGCAAAGATGACAATGTTGCACCGCATTCTACGTGCTACTCTTCATCAACCCAAAACAAAGGCAAACTGTAGCCATAAAAAAATGGAAAAGAAACAAAAGTGCAGTTGCTTTCCATTGTGTTAGGTTCCTGAGGATGAAGTCAGCAAGATTTTGAGGCAAGGAGTAACACCATAATTGTTGGGTTTTCAAGAATATAAGAGTTTTATCAAAAAAAGCTGCTGACATTGCCAAGAGAGGCAGTAAGGACTCAGCAGTCAATGCCCTTTGCCCATATTGCTAACATGCAAGTCTGACACATCTGCTATGACATAAAGCTTGCAATTACATGTACAATAAAAAGTTTAAGTGAGTCAAATCTATCAAAAATGAATATGAATAAAACTGGTCAGATTCAAATTAACTATAACCTCCTCTTTTCATAAGGTGTCACATTGAGTTTTGCTTTGTTTCCTGTATAAGCAAAGTTCTCAGGTGGGTATTTATCTTGAAACATAAGATGAAAAAACAGAAAACAATCAGACAGAACTATGGATTGAATGTTTAATCATATGCCCAAACCAAATTGCTACAAAAGAGGTAGGCTGCTCAGCTACAGAAGAGGGATTTTATATGGGCATGTATGAAAAGTTGTTATGTATGGCTCTAAACTAAATGCTGTCAGAATGAGGACAGCCTAAAGGTTAAACAAAACTGAAAGGTTTGCCCAGCTATGATTTTGGAGAAGCTCTGGTCAACAGACTACTTTATAAAAAAGATTCAATGTTTTGGTAATAGAAAGGACATTTAATCCAATCTGCACAGGAATTACAGCTTCTATTTTCTCATTCCCCTGAGAGACAGGATACAAAGGAATGAAATTCAAACAGTTTGTCTTAACGTGGTGAGCAGAAGTGACAGACAGTGCAACCCAGCTCTGTATTGCAGAACTGCCACAGGGCAGGAAGCTTTCCCACCAGCATACATTCCAAACTGCCAGTTGTAAGCACTTTTTCTTGATCAAATGAAGAAATTCGAGGTACAAAAATATGAGCCAGCAGTCTAATTATAATCACCCATACTGGAACATCTTGGCTTAAAACATTCCAGTAACATTCTAGCTGATGACAACAGGAGGCAGAGTCGTGGCAGGCTTTCAACAAGAATGTTAGTAGCTAGAGAGTTTACATTTCATTCTTACAGTAGCCTGATGCTTTTTCAGCTTGGATATTTGTTTTCCTTTCATCTCCATTTGTTTTACAAGCCAATCCAGCTCCTGTTCCAGGTCTTCACGAGCTTGGGAGTCTTGAGTCTCCTGTATCTGCTTCAGAAGTTCCTGATGCTCACTATTAAAGACAAGAATGGCAATCTAAATATTCATGATATGGTCTCTAGGATTTCCTCCTGCAGGAGTTCCTGGCCATTTTGTGCAGAGTACAGAAATTAAGCATTATTTCCACTCTCACACAATAGACATTAATCTGGACTATATTAACAAGAGAAAGGCAAAAGGTTTTTCTGTGAGTCTGATTTTCTCATTCCAAATTGTTAGCTGATGTCCATCTTACTTCTCCCTCTTCCCACAGGCATAACAACTACATGTGTAATAGTGTGCAAAATGAAATTTTTGAAAGTGAACAGCAGCTATGCAGTCCAATATTTTCACTTCCTGCTCCATTTAGCACAGACTTTGAAGGTTTAATGTAATACATGAAAGTATTTTTTAAACTAGTACATTCAAGTTACAATTTTTCTGACAAATTATTAAAATATTCTAGTAAAAAAGATTTACAGCAAAGAGGGCTGCTTAATTAAATTAACCAGACTAAATAAAAGAAATTGTGTACATCTTGATAATCAGACACCTGAACAAGTTTAAGCCAGAGACTGCCTCTTAGATAAGTAATACCTTTACAAAGGTCAGAGCTTCTTCTCTGACTTCTGAGTAACTGCTTCTCCTTGACAGTTTAATTGAAGCAACTAGTTGTTGCAATAAAAAAAAAAAAAAGCCTGTCCTTGAACTGCCATGAGTAAGCTAGACATTGCTTTTTGAACACGAGATTGCTTGCCAGTTTAAATTTTACCACATCAAGCATTTCAAATCAGCGTCAACATCCTAACTGGTTTAATCAGCACATCCTCTTCTGTTCAAGCCACAGCTCATCATGTTGACATGTCAGCTACGACCAGCTACAGAGCTTTGGCCCACAGCCCCACAAGCCTGCATTAATGGGAAGATACCTAAGAACACAACAGGTTGTAATCCACGTTTACTTGCATGGCTAGAAAGATACATACACTCCCATCTGAAGTGTTAGCTTCTTCCACACCCTGCCCATTTTCTGGCAGGAGACCATCCCTCTTTCACAACCCCTTTACAGGACCAGCAAGTTCTCCTCCTATCAACAAGCAAAGGGTACGAGCACTGGACTGACTCAGCACAAAGACCCAGCAGGTACACTGGTAAGGAAAGAACTCAGAGTGAGTACAAAGGAACAGGAGAGATGTTGCGACAGGACTGTTCATGCCAGAGCTGTACTAACCCATTCCACCACCCAGACTGACTGCATCCTGCAGGCCTACTCAATATCAGCATCACCTTTGCAGCCTTCTCCAGGAGAAAAATTTTGGTTTACTCTTTATATCTCAGAGTATGTTTAAAATGTCTAAAAAGTACAGGTCTGAAAGGCTTTTCATTTGCTGCAGCTGCTACTTCCTGTTTAAATACAGGATGTGGAAGCAGAAAAACAAAACCAGTGAAACACCAGGATAGAAAGAATTTTTTGAATGAGAAAAATCCTGCTAGTCAAGCCTGCTCAGGTCACTCTGTCAACAAGTAGTCCTATAGCTGAAACAGGCTAGGCTTGACTACAAGCACCCGATTGCTTCTCAGGGCTGCTGCTGAAATCACAACACACACGATGGGTACTCACGAACTCATTTGACCCAGCTCGTCTTGTAAGGCCAACAGAAGGTCTGAAAAGCTCCTGGTGGCAGTGGGAGTTGTGGAACAAGAGGATACAGACTTTGAAAGCACACTGTGTCCTGAAATCCCAGCTGTAGCTCCTCCTTGTCTTTGCAATGAGATACATGGATTGCGATGCTTCATAATGTGCAACACGCTTTGTACGTTTGCACTGACAGAATGGCTGGAGCTGGCAGACTTAAAAGAAGAATTATCAGTGGCTTACAGAAGTAATTAACAACTACACAGCCTTACCCAAACTGTAGATGTCACTTCAGTGAGAACAGTGGTATTCACCTACCTTCCCAGCCACAAAAGGTAGTTCACCAGCCTTTACATGTAATCGTGAAAGCTGCATTTTCTTCATTGTAGGATTTCTCTGTCACAAGAGCCATAAGAAAATATAAGACAAGAAATTCCAATCTGCTGACTCAAGAGTACAATCTTAAACTTTTTTTTTAGTAAGTAAAATTCAATATAAATATACAATGAAATGCGTCACCTCCAGTTTTCTTCCGGTTAAAAAAAAATATTTTCCCTCCTGTATGTTTAACAAGTAAGACTTTCCAATAGCTGACACAAATAAATTTTATTCCATATGCATGAAGGAGATAGTTTAACAATTAGGCTAACATTAAAGGAATTGAACCTTGTTTACTTAAGTTTTCAAAACCACAATTGCAAAATTTTGACTGATCTGTAATATGTGTTGCAAAGTAAATTTTTTTTATTTCAGTAATCTCCCCAAAACACACCATCTTAAGATGCTGACCTAAAACTCCTTTGGAAACTAACTTTGCCAGAGAAACTGAAAGGCAGCAAAGACAGGACATGGGGGATGGCAGCAAGACTTTAACAGAGGTAATTGTCAAGCTGGTAAGGGTGCCTCTTACATCACCATTTTTCACAAATTCCAGTCTGTGTGAGTCAGATGCTATCAGCAAAAGTATGCTAATAAAAATTTCCATGTTACCTTCCTAGGTTTTTTGTTCTTCCCATTTTCCTTTTCAGGTTCATATTGAGATGTTACTGAAGACATCAAAATTCTGTTTACATCAAATGATGTTTGAAACTGTGGCAATAAGCAAAAAGGAAAGCAGCCATTTAATGTAATACCAGAAGTATGAAATAGCAAGGTTTAATTAATTCTCTCTTTCATGCATGGATAAGAACCAATTAGGGACACTATTAATTGTCCTGCTTGGAAGGTATAAGCTACTCTTAAAAACTGAACAGATTACAAAGAAGACAGGGTATCAGGCAGATCTTGCAGCTCTATCTTATTATTCCTCATTTTCATATTCAGCTGCAGCAGCAGCTGTATTTTTCCATTGTGACAACCAGCAGCTGAGATAAGCCAATCCTTTTGCATGCTGAGGATCTGACCATAAAATCCAAATTATCTGAACATTTGGCTCTTGCAATCTGGGGACAGAGAGAACGAAGCCCGTCTGTGTTACACTGAGGTCAAACCTGCTGGACAATCATTGCTCGGTGGTTCAAAGTTGCTATCAAGGCCCATGATAAACAGGATGATAATCATTCCCAATTAAACATAGGACAAGGACTTTGCTTTGGCATGTGTTACAGTTCCAGCTAAACAATGCTGGAGGTCCACCACTAAAGTGAGAATATTCTGGCTTTTCTGTCATCAAGAGGAAATGAACCACACCACACCCTGTGCTTTCCAGTCCAGATCCAACAGACCTAAATCTATCCTGCAGTGTATTAAGATGGTACTAACACTACTTTAGGACTCAGTTTACTGCATCTAAGTCTTTTCTTAAGCAAATGTTTAGACTACCTGCTCTGGGAGAATCATTCTTACCATGTTTCTCAGAAGATAAAATCTCTGTACCAGGCCTTTTGCTCTGCAGCAGCAAGCAGTCTAAGCAAGAAACCAAAAAACCTACACGTTTTCAACTGTGTCATTCTGCTGGATTCTGGAGGTGGTCAGACATCTGGGCTACAAATCTGCATGTTATTTAAAGCTTCCTGGATTGATGAAAACCCATCATCCTTGGATGAGGTACAAGAGCTGACAGCAGTGATGAATTAAATTAAGGCATCAGCTTTGCTTATGTTCTTCCAAAATATTACTCTTCAGCACTGCAGTCCCCACCCCACCCCACTGGAATTCCCCCACAACTGGTCTCTCTTTCATGCTGGCTGCTACTTGTGCACAAAATGAGGTTTGGAATACAACTACCTTGCCTCTTCAACAAAAGGTTTCATCATTTTTCTCTCTTTGGCAAATACTCCTCTCTCAGATGGATGCCAGCCCAATGAACTGATTACAGCTTCACAGAATAATGAATTATACAAGATCTCATTTGATGAACAACATATTACTGATTAAGGTTTTTCCAAGTACAGCCTTATGTATTCAATTTCTACAGATCTTAACAAAGGGAGGAAAACAAACACAACAACTAACCTCATTTGGGATATATGGTTTCATATGTGACCACTTTCAAGTTACTGGAAATTAAGTTAACCTGATTCAGTTATAGATTTTCTACAAATTAATTTTCTACCTGGGTCACTTAGAGCAGTGTTGAGGCTGATGAACTGTTTCACTAATACAAACCCAAGCAGAATATTTCTTTATTGAGATATGCAACACACCTGGCAAACCTTCTAATATGGAGCTATAAATGATCTAGGTAGTATTTGAGTAATAAACATGAGGAGTTAAAATGTAATAAAACAAGAAAAGCATTTTGAACAGAGAGAATAGCTTTCTTCAGTACTAAAAAATAAGATAAAATATTTTCAGTCTACCTGAGCAGTTTTATCTTGTATTAGCTTATGCTGATGCTCTTCTTTACACAGCTTTTCTTCTAAGTGTTTGATCTTGTCCTGAATTTGAAGGCAAGAATGATTAGTCCCACTTCAATTTGTCATGCTGAATCTGAAGTCTGGAGGAGCTCAAAATTGTAATGTGGGGATAAAACTGAACTGTAGGAATTTTTAAAGCCCAGACTGAAAAAAGATTCATGCACATGAAGCCAAGGTGGCTTTCAGTCACGTATGCTTTAACAGAGGTAATTTTGCAAAACTTAGTACTATTAATAGTATGCCATAAAATGATACCAAATTACTTTCAGACTGTCATTCCATGCATGCTTACTTCAGCAATTCTCTGAGTAGCAGTAAGTTTAAGACACTCTTTTTCTAGCATTTCAAGCTTTTCAAGTTTTGCATGCAGTTCTAACCGGTTCTGACCTTCCTCTTTCTGAAGCTGAGCCTGAAAAAAATAAGCAAGAATAGAGTTGGCCACTGACTGAAATTGTTTCAAAAGAGCAGAAAAAGCACCAAACCACCCCATACCAGAGTAAAGGTGTTTAATTAGTTTAAATTCCATATTTTTTAAATTGCAAAGTGATGGAAAATACCAGGCAGACAAAGACAACTTAAGCTTCCAGCAGCTTTTTTTGTCTACCAAGTGTGCATGTATTAGCATGGTTTTGCTCATTAGGAGTTCCACCCAGGGAGCTTTTCATACAATTCATTGAATGGTTGTCATCAGGCATACACTAAATTGCTTCTGTTTGCTAGCAGCCTGAGCAGAGCTGAGGAAAAACAATGACCACAAAAAACTTCCTGCACATTTCTGTAATTTTAAACTACATCACTACTTTGTTATTATGCTGAAGGGCTTCACCTGTTGTTCTAAAATAATTTTCTTTTCCAGTTCTGCACTGGAAACCATTTTCCTCATGTAATCCAGCTGTTTCTCCAGCAGGGAGCAGCGGGATTGTGCTGCATTTAACTGCACACTTGCATCTACAGAGAGAAACAAGACATTCAGTACAGCAAAGGGAGCTACACATTTAGCCAGACTGTCATTTCATTGAGGAATTCTCTGTCTTCAAAACAGGCAAGAACAGTTTAGTTAGTCTGAACAAGTCATATGGTTAAAAAGTATTTTATTTATAAGACATGAGAATCAAAATGTTTTTTCAAAGCTAGTCCCTAATCTGAATTCCAAAGGCATGAGCACTGCAGTTACTTTGATTTATATCAGCAGACACCTAACCAAAATCTGAGAGAGGAGAATCTTCTCCTATCTTTTCTCAAGTTAGCTGTGTTATGTAAGCAACTGCTAGCTTATTGTAGGAGTTAAACATACCACCTGAAACATGCTTAGTCTTTAAAATTGCATTATGGCTTATGCAATACTTGGTTGATATATGTAAAAAAATATCTCAACTTCATCCACAATTATCAAGCTCCTGTCCCTCCTCTTTTCTGAAGCAAAAAATGAAAGGGAGCTGTACTAATTACCAGTTTTTCAAAACAAAACACTCCCTAGATTATACAGTCTTAATGTTGCTGTGGCTACACCTTATCACTCAAAAGAAATACCTTTCCTCTGCATCAGCTGTTGATGTGCTGTGTTCTTCTCGTAGGATTCATCCTCTAAGACCTTCTTGTACTGAGCAGCCGCTCTGGACAGGCTGCACAGTTTATCTTCAGCCTGGGACTTCTCCAGCTCTAGACGATGGATTTTTTCTTGCAGAGCTTTCAGAGCTGCCACTACAGCTAGCAAACAACACAACAGCTACACTTTAAGTAACAGTTCCTGTTTTGGTGATGATAATCCTTATTAGAAAACACTTCACATTACAATATACTACCTAAATTTTCTTCCTAGAATCACTCCCAAAATTAATTATATTCCCCAGCTGTACACCAACTTAAGCAGAACATATATAGGGGAATATTGATGTGTTTTCTGCATAACTGAGGTACAAAGCTCCGGCCCTATGAGCAAAACTATTTTTACTCTAAATTGCAGCAAGCACAAAGAAATCATGGCAAATAGAATATAATAAACCCTGGGGCTTCTCTTTAAATAGAAGCAGAGAACACAGGTATCCAAGTGAGGTCACAAGTTTTAGTGTAGGGCAACTGGTCTGGACAGATTAAAAAGAGAAAACATGCTCAAAACAGGGGGAGAACTTAGATACAAAGGACAATTTAGCAAAGGATACATTGTTAAATACCTTATTGTTTCAAAAGATAATGTTTCAATATCAAGTATCTTGTATTTGATGATTCTTTAAACCACAGATACAAGCCTGGAAGATTTTGCTTTCAGCCTTAAATCAGTATGTGTCAAATTATACCAAAAATAAAAGCTGCAATTTCAGCTACAAGAAAAAGTATGCTAACTCTCCATACAGCATACAGACCTGTGGAAGCTTAAGACATGCTCTGTAACAAGTCAAGCTTATTTTCTGACATTTTATAATTGACAGATTCTCTATTCCAAACTCTCTCTCAAAAGAATACAATCAGATATTGCCACCTCCTTAACAAATTTCACCATCTTATCACAGATCCATTAAAAAAAACAAACAAAAAACCCACAAACCAAACAAAACCACACAACAGCAAAAACCAAATAAACATCAAAAACTCAAAACAAAAAGCAAATATCAGAAAGCAGAAGGATGGACCTTTTCCATCTTTCTATTGTTATGCCAAACACTTCTTTAATCACTTCACTACATAGCACTAAACTGATCACTGTAATCCAAAAAAGCTCAAACTCTCTATGACATAAGATTACCACAGAAATCACAGATTTTTCAGGTGAAGAACAATGATCACAAACACACTCATAGGCTATGTCTGTGCAAGGTAGCAAAGTTGTCCATGATAATAAGTCCAAGTATGGGTATCCTTATGATTCCCTAGGCTCTCCAGATATGTTAAGCCACTGACCATTTGCCTTGTGAGCTCCAGAGCAGTCACCCATTAAGGCACATGACAACCATATTTCATAGGGACTAACTTTCATGCTGCTAACTTTCAAGAAAAAAAGCCTTAGAAGTGATTTTAGGCTGGAAGGAGTCAAATAGCACTAAGCAAAGCAAATTTCAGGTCAGTGTACCATACTAATATCCTTTTATTACTATATTTGAAGTCATGAACTACTTCTACTGAGTTTGAAGCATTCTCCTTTGCTTTCAGAGGAAGTCTGACGATTTTAAGTTAAACAAATTTCAAAGCCAAAGTTTACACGGATGTTAGAAGACTTGCAGAGGTTTCCATTCTAGACATATGACTTCAGGGAGACTACTCCCTCAGGACACATATACATCCTGTCTCAATGTCAGACTGATAACTGCAGCAAGTCATTGAACTCAGTCAAATAGGATGGGGAGTTTGCTCAAGAGATTTCACATGGAACAATTAAAAAGACCATTTTAAGGACATATTTTGGCTATACCTTGCTTATTTGGGAGAGAAGGCCTGTCACCAGCAGCAGCTGCCAACTTCTTTGATTCTTTGTAAACAAAGGCTGCAGGAAGCATCCAATCTGGTGGCTGAAGAAAGCTTCCTATGAAACTGTTCTTTGATTCAGAATCCATAGCCTGTAGAAAGAGAGCCATTTAATGACATTATTTCTTTAATAGAATCTTTTTCATAAATATGTCACTGGGCTGTCCCTGGCTCTGTTTATATCAAACCAGATCATGCACACCAAAGCAATAATAATAGTAGTAATAAGAACAACAACAAGAATAATAATAATACCCACACCCAATCAGAAGAATCCTGTCTTTTAATGCAATTCTAAAACAATGCCTTTCATAACACCAAACATAGCTTCCTTTTACTGATCAAAATTTTCCAAGATTTTTCTAGGTGCTAATTATGCTGATTTTTGTCCTTTTAAAATTCAAGAATTAAGAGCATTTTCTACTAACTATTTTACAGACTTCAATGTCTTGACTTTAAGTGCTCCCTGCAGAGAAAACATTCCAGGTTTTACACCCTGTTTCCATTTGCAGTGTCCTTAGTGCTCTTCTTCCCATCTTTTTGGATGCAAAACCAAATTACATATGGTAAATAACGTACCATTATTACATAATAAAGACACAGTTCTCCACATTTATTGTTGAGATAACAGGAGGATAGTTAATATGCAGTATCCCCAGTATTATCTCCATTATTAGGCATGGGTATTAAGTCCTATTTCTTCACTCCCTTTCTGTTCCACCTTTTCACACTCTTTGTTTTATGAGAAGCACATTTGAAAACAGTTCACACCCTGTCAAATAGAAATTTTTCTTGATACTCAAGACATGGACAGTGAAATGTGCAGAAAGTCCTTTAAGCTAATACAACCTCTAGGAAGTTAAAGCAAGTTTGAAATTATCCTGTAGTTACCTATCAAAGTAGTAGGAAGCATTTCACTTGATACAGTGTAAGAAGTGAAGACTATACAGCTTCAGCTAATAGAAAAACAGCTTATTTGAAGGTTCAGTGATATACCAATTATGATTGTTGTATTGCTTGTGTTTAAAATACAAGGCTGGAAAAGTCTTCCCCCTTGGGTAAGGCTGTTTACATGTGTTAGTCTCCAAGAAAATCACCCAAAGGAGGTATCTAGTAATATGAGGAAGAAACAGACCAAGACTAGAGCCTGCTGATGAAGCATACCCCAGGAGAAGTCATTCATACCGGGTGGCAAACAGGGAAAAAATTTTTCAATTCCAAAAAAAGATTTCTAGGAGCACTTACAGCTCTTACAGCCTGTTCCAAAGGCTGTATAAAAATACCCAAAAAATCATCTTCCAGCCACACTGCCTCTTCAAGGTATGCACTAAAATGAAGGCAAGAAATCCTTCCTTCTTCCTCCAAACTGTCATCACAGAGATGTGAACATGAGCATCTCTTCACCAGGGCTTGCTTGACCTGGGGCCTCCCAACCATCATCACTTTTGTGTGTGCTAACACCCCCAAGGTCATACCATTCAGAGCAGCCCCCTTGGTCCCAAATGGGAAATCTATCAGGGCTACCCTCCTGCCACAGGTCTTTTGCAAGGACTTCTCCATGGGGCCCTGCTGCCATCCTCCTCAAGGTCAGGCCACAAGCTCTCAGTGCTGGGTTGAGAGCAGCAGGCAGCCAGGCACCCCACCATCACTTGGAAGAGGTCCCATCTAGGGACCCTACCACATGGATGGCCACAAAAGCTCCCTACCTCTGTCCTGAAGGACTGGGAAAGACCATCCAGGGATACCTGACCTTAACAGCTGGCCAGATCTATCAACCAGCTCCAACAGCACAAGGGGCAATGGTAGTGAAAGGGACAAAGCAGAGAGCAGAAAAAATCTCCAAATATGGATGACAAAGTCTTGTGGCCACAGAGGTGGTCAGGGCCAAGACAAGAGAGGAGATGGTCCTGGCATGGCACAGTGCATTAACATGGAGTTCCACAAAATAAGAGATAAGCAAGACTTAAAAATTTTCCTGTTGCTATTCAACGTCTTCACATTGGTGTTGAAAGAGACTAGCAAAAAAAAAAAAAAAAAGCCACAAAAATGAGCATATGCACAGGCAAGAAGTTTCCTACCACTGCTGTGAATAAAAGGCAACTTTGGAAACAGTAGAGGAAGAAGGTGGTTTTTGCTCACACCATCCAACCTTCTGGCAGTCAGTGTAAGTGGAGACTTGCTTTTCCAACATCCACCAGTGAAACATGGCTCCCCTGCATGCCTGCACAGCTACACATCAATTACTTTCCTTATTACTTTCACATAAACAAGTTTTGCTGTTTCCAAGGAGATGGGTCTGTGGACAGTTTAAGGAGGGCAGTGATCCGAAGCAAATAATGAATAAGGCAGCAGAAAATTTGAGAGTTTGGGCACAAGCTCAGTAATACAAAGGTGGGGGGGCATGGGGGACACCTATTTGGCAGACAGGGAAATAAAACCCCTTTAGTTCTGCTAGCGAAACCAAATGGAAGTGAAAGAAAAGAGGTCAGCTCACCTGCCTGGTGGTGGTAATTCAGCTAATCTGGTGTGGACTTCAGCACAAAACCTCAAAACGTTGCCAGCACAGCAGGGGATAATAAACACCCACCAGCTGGAGGGGGAGCTCCCCAAGCTGCTGCTAAGAGCAGAGGCTCAGCAAAGAGTGTGAAAGAAAACACCACAAGACTGAGACACCTGTGTTTGCAGAAACTACTGCAGACACAGTTACGGACGCCTTGCTTTACCACAGCTTCCTCAGATACAGAGGCTGTGTGGAGCAGCTGAGGGCATGGTTGCCATAGTGCTTTGAGGCTGTGTCAGCATAATTACTCTGGTAGAAGTGCTCTAGTGTAGACAAGTCCTAATATCTCAGCAGGCAAATAGAGTTTATAGCAACCAAACAGCACAGGAGGAACGTCTACAACACTGCAGACCTCAGGCAAAGAGATGCGTGCCAGGAAAAGGACCAGGTCACTCTACACCAGCAAGACATCACTAAACATCCTGGCCACGTCCAGCCCACTGCAACAAGAAACTTATCAGGAAATAATTAAATAGTTTGACGTATGCTTGAACGTCAACAGGCCTACCACAACTTTCCCCCCCCAAGTATTTAAAAACCATCACATAAAACCATCACTACCAGGTTTGCTTTTTCAAAAGTCTTACACAGCAAGCTTAAATCACTCTCTTATTCCATGGTGCCACCACCATGGACACCTGGAACACTGCCCTAAAGAGGTGTTTTAAAGCAGATATTGCTTCCCAAACAACGTTTGTACTAATGTAACTCTACAAGGCTTAGGGGGATTTAGCACGTGAACAGCACACGTTAAAGCAGCCAGAATATAGTTGTTTAGACAAGCCCTTGGTTGAGGAAAGCAGTGCACTCCTTTGAGTTTGGGCAAGAGCCAAGGGAGAAGTATGCATATTAAACAGAGGCTGACAAAATACCCCAGTTACATGCAGAGGGGAAGGGAAGAAGGAAGAAATGCCTCACTCCCACCCCAGCAGCCTACACTGCTGTGGTGAGCAGGACGAAGCACTTGTGCTGTGCAGGTCATATCTGGAGTAAACACTGGCCCTTTGGGTTTTTTAATGGGAAATGGCACAGACTGTGTTGGTGGATGCAGCAGTGACGCTCAGATCCCCAGTGTTATTTTATCCAGAAAAATACAAAGTAACCGATTCCAACACTGGCTGCATCAAGCATGGGGTAACTTAGTTGCGTCCATGGGCTTTCCATGAGTCCTTCCAAGATGGAATAATCTGTGATTAAACATCAGCCTGGGCAAGCCAGCTATGTTTTTCTCCAGGTCTGAGCTAGGAGGATCATGGCATTCTGTGCCACACAAATGCAACCCTGTGCATGGTGCATGATGCCAGGCATGGCACATTAGCCCTGTGACAGCACTGCACTGACTCGAATACTCTGCCCACCTCTTGCCTCGCTGCAAGCAGTGCTCAGCCCTGGGGTGTGAGCATGAGAAGGGCTGGTCCCTTCAGTGGGACCACTACTGCCTCTTGGCTCACCATCAGGTGCAGGCTGAGAGTGAACTTGCTCAAAGTACGCTGGGGAGCAATCCCACCATCAAGTCCATCCCTGTATATGTGATGTTCATGCCTCAGAAAAGAGCAAGCAAATTGGACTTTGGTACATTAAGAAAAACACAGAATTTCCCATTCCATCACAGTCATCTAAGTACTAATACAATTTATCTTTATACCATTTCTATTTACTTTTGCTGAATATGGCCAGCAGTAAATGCCATAGTACTGGATTGGGTTGCTGTAAAAATCAATTGACATTTTACTTATGCTGTCTGGCCCAAGCAAGTATACTAACTGTGGAGAATTATTGAACACAATTGAAATCCAAAGGGTTACAGAAAGCCCGATTATGGCTTCATTATCCTCTTCCCCTCCTCTATAAGCCACTTCATTACAAAGTTTCAAAAAAATGTCTCCTGAAGTGAAAAGTCCAGAAACATTTTGCCACACATACAATTATGCCTCATGCTGTAAAGCAGCATATGGAAAAGCTTTTTCTACATGTAAACAATAGCAGATTCAGGGAGTAATGCTGGCTTAACTGTCTCCCAAAAGACACACTAAATGAATAATGTGATAATGTAAGGGATACTTCCACTAAATTCTCTGATGTTTGCTATCTCACAGGGACACTGGTCCATTCAAATTGCTGTGAGGGCAACCTATAAGAACCAAAGAAAGATATGCTGTCAGAACACCTTCAAAGAGGAAAAAGAAAAAGCAGATCAAAGCATTTTTCAGAAAGAAATACTAAGATATCTATCTTCTGGTCTGACCTACTGGACATGAACAATTTATAGCAGTTTCTTTGATAACTGAAAAAAAAAGTCTTAAATTAACCAAAGACTGATTCAGTGTTTATCTGACATAGGAGAAGTTCTAAACAACTGCCCCAACACAGGCTATACCGAGAAGCTTCAAAAATTCTTGCTGCTGCATTGTCTACTTGAGCCAAGCCTTGCTGGCTAATGGTTAAGTGAGAAGCCATTTCTGTGACATGATCCAAACTGGTGTATTTTTTCCCCTTTCACTTGCCTTTGAGAACTGGGAGAAAAGCTGGTCAGCTGTACTAGCTATGCTGCAACACTCAGCCTTATTCCCAGCTGACAAAGAACAGCCCTTCCACAGAGAAAAAGAAAGAAAGAAATAATGTTGTGGGCAAACTGCATTGCTGTTTTGGGAACACCCAGTCTCTAGCATCCTGACACAGCCACTTTAATCAGCCTGAAACACATGACAATGCTCAGGACATATCTAAGCAGCTGATACTCCCATGTCTCTTCTAATATAAGTGGGTTAGACATGAGATGGTGGCAGCTGCAAAACTAATAGGAAGTGAAACCTCACTGAATCAATAAAGCATTTCAATGTGATTTCTAAGTTTTGTCAAGTTCCACTTTAATAAGTTCAGGGCAAGTGGCAAAAATTTATTAGAGAAATTAAGGAACCTAGGAGTGTTTTGCAAAACTGACACAGCCAAATCCATGGGAGGCAGTTTGTCATACAAACTGAGAGATACATACTGGCAATCTCAGAACTGGATACATAAAAGTTAAATTTCCAGTCTCTTCTTTGATAGTATTGTAGCAAAGCCCATCCGTTCCTGAACATCAAGTCTATGCAGAACTTTCATACAATCATTGTTTTTCATTCTTGGAAGAAAAGGAAAATAAATGCCCTTCTCTGTTTTCTCATGACACCACATATACTGTCAAGTAGGATAAAACCTGTCATTTTAATTAAAAAAACCCGAACCACAAACAACCCAACAAATGCCCAAAACTCTTAAGACTTTTCACTGTGTCAGCATTTCACTTCTAAGCGTTCACACGATATTTCTCTAGTTCCTGTTTGCTAGAGAGAAAAAAAAAAAAAAAAGAGGAAGAAAGAAAATGGAGTGAGTTGCAAGAGTATCTTGTGAATAAGGCAAAGAAACAACCTGGTGGGGAAAAAACCTGTGATTTTTTTAACAATTTTTTGGGGAATAGATTCTAACCTGGCAGTGTATCAAGCATGCAAACTTGGGTCGAAATGTTATTAGTTTTGCTGTTTTCTTCAATGAGTACAGCAGACCAAATTCCTCATCCAATTGGGCCTTCATCCAAAAGCACAATACAGTCACAATCAACCCTTGGTGGGGAAATCAAGTTGGTGTAAATTGCTTTAACCTCAAAATGCAGATCATAACTGAACTCAGCATTTAGAGGAGCAAGACTACAAATTCCTGTCTAGTAATAATTGCTATCTTAGCATGAAAACATTTAACCTGTAATACAGTGCTATCAAAATAATTACATTTATATATCTTTAATCAGTCCAAAGTAATTAAACATTTTTTGTAATAAGCATCAAACAAAACCCAAATACTATAAATGGTCACTAATATACTTCCTCACTTCACTCACAGTTCTGTTCCTGTTCTTTCATGTACCTTCTGTTACATTTGGAGTTTGTCTCTCATCTCCTCTCTTTTTATTGTTTTTACATAATCCTATAGCTTTATTCCTTGCCCTTTTCCACTTGGTATTCTTTTTCTTCTACTCCTTCTTCTAGCATAAAAAGCTAGGATTTTTCCGAAGTAAAAATATCCACTTCCCCCCCCCCCCCCCCCAACAAGATTAACTATCAAGTTTCTTCCTTTTATACTTAAAATCCAGTTCCAAGAGATGCTGCTTAGTATACTGACTGATGTGGAAATTGAAGGTGTTCTCCTCAGTACTCCACATGAAGAATGTAAAAGATTACTTTTTCTGTTCACTGTTATTTCCTGCTGATGCCATCACGCTGCCTTACATATGTAGTTTCTTTAGTTTAGTGTGTCCTGATAGATTCGAAGGTAGGAAGGAATTACTGGCTTTGGCTATGGACCCTTGAAAAAAAAAAAAAAAAGGGTTTGCTGTTGTATAAAGGGAAGGCCTTCAAGGGTAACTGATTCCAGTATAAAAGACTGTATCTGTGCACAGGCAGAACAATTAGATATTAGAAAGGCAAATGCAAAACGGAAAAGACATTAGGATAGGGCAGGGTAAATATAAGGGTGGTTTGAAATGACAATCATAGAGAAGAAATAAATGTAAGAAGATAGGGGATGATTATTGCAGGTGTTGACTCATTCACAGTAAACACTTCTACTGCATGATAATTCTCACCTTTTATGTCTCAAATACTTAATGGTGTCACTGAAAGATGGTTTTGAATGTTGCAACTCGCCCTCTAGGCATATGAAACACACAGACTGTGTCCCCACTGTTGCCTTGGAATTTATTTTTAAAGTAAACTTCTGCTTTTACCAATACTTTCATTGTCAGTCTCTTCATCCACTATCCTTTAACCTAGCCTGAAGATGGAGTAGGAAGTAGATTTTAGACAGATAACCACAAAAACTTGACATGGATGAGCAGAGAAACACAAAGAGGGTAATTATTCATAGGATTTATCTCTTTTTACTAACTACCACGCCCACATTTTTTTCATATATTCCTGTGCTACTGCTAGCTAGGCACCTGGCAAGGAACAAAAACTCCATTCTGCATTTGTACATCAGGCAGCCTAAGAAACAGAATGAGGAAAAAACCAAAAAACGTTCGCAAGGAATAGGAAAGGCTGTTTCACTTCACTCCAGGCAAGAAATTATATTCAAAAATCAGATTTTGTCTGAAATAGTTGTCTTTTAATATGCAGAAATAATGAAAGCAGATCTGAGTTAGAGCAACTCCTTGATCTTATTTTGGGGACCGATTTTGTAGAAGAATGATTTTAAAAAAATATCATGTTTTCATGACTTAGAATAATCATAGCAATTCTAACATCCACATTGAATATCCTGAACAGGCACAATATTCTAGGTATTAATGCCAAATAGTTTGTATATCATATGGTATAATGAGTATTCAGAAATGCAGAAATTGTTTTATCACTACTTCTGCTCCGAGTTGCCTGGGGAAACTTAACATAGTCAAAGACATTACTTGTTTCATAAAATCTGTATATTTAAACTGTCATGGCTTTGGAGATACAGAAAAAGCAAATCTGAGTAAAATGCTACAAAATCCTGTGCACTAAAAGCTAAAACTGAAGGCATCACTTTCAGGGAGAAAACTAACTTCAATTGATGATAAAGTTTTTAATAGGCATTTCTTCCCTATTAACTATATGCAGTTTCTGAATGCAAGAAAATTCAGTGAATCTCTAGGTTCTTGACTTCAATTCTTTCTGTTCTGTGTGACCTTAATAAATCAGAGGGTTGGGACTGATAAGGGACTGATGTTTCAGGATACATGAGCCTTTCAGCCTCAGGGCTGAGCGTGTTAATAACAGGCTTACATTCCCTGCATGAAAAAGAAATGCAGGTATAGATCCAAAACAAGCAGCATGCTCAGTGAGGAGCTAAGAGCTTCGGATCAGGGTGAGGAAACTCTGAACATAGACGTGGGTGAAGTCCCACCCTGGTGCTTGGCACCTTTATCTTCTTTGGACTCAGAATTTGGAGTCCTCTTCTGGCAGCGAGTGCCAAAATCTGTTATTTAAAACAATGAATAAAGAGTCCCTGTAGCTTTTCTGGTCTATGACTTCAGTTCATGTGGCTGCTGGTCACAGCATTTTTCTTTGTGTTATTGCTGGAAAACACCAAGGTCGGTGTTAACAGCCTGCCAAAGGTGCTTAAAGGGCCTTTTGGGCGACCAGCAGATAAAAAATTCCCAATAAGCAATGTTCCTTTTCTTTTAAAGTGCAGCTAGAGGAAACAGTGTCTACCTTCTCTGTGCTGCTACCCAGTGGTCAGAGCATTGGCCAGGAAGTGGGAGTTCCTGGGGAGCATTCATGCCTCATCCCTGACCACCATGCTAGACTGGGAGGAGGAAGAGCAGGAAGGAAACAGGGAGTCACCACCTTTTCGTTTGAAGTTATGACCCCGTTCCCTAAAGCATCTAAGTCTCAAACCAGGACAAGGCGGCTGAGGCAAAAGACAGTAAAACAAGGAGGTGTCTCTCTCATCTAGTTCAATCATCAAAACAGGGTCCTGGGATTAATTTATGCATTTCTGTTGCAAATAGATCCTGGATAAAAAACAGCACTGGCTTGGGAAAAGTTATCAGAAACCAGCAATAAGTGCCTACAGATCCCTGTATCTCTCCTTTCTTCTAGTTCACACTAGTGCCATGCATTTGCCATCCTTTCCAACAGGGCACAAATTCAACAACTGAGGTGATGAATGCTTCCCTTCCATTTTGCAATCCTGAGCACGTGGGACACTCTCCTGGTAGTTAGGAGGTGTTGATGTAAATGCCTTTGAGCTAAAAGGCAGTTCTTTAATCCCTGGGTTACCTTACTGAAGGTGAGCACTCTACCAAATTCTGCCAGGCACTGAAGCCATCTGTGGCTACAACAGAAGAACTGACTTTTTGGGTTTGGAGAAGTTCCACTCAACAGGACCTCTCTTAGAGCTGCTCCACCTGCTTCCTAGATCACAATGGAAACAAAGGGGAGACAGGTTCCAAGGCGCCCAGTTTGGGGCAATTCCAAACACTTCTATTCAGAAACGGATTAACTAGAGTTTAGGTAGCTGCTCAGAGTTCTTCAGAGCTGCACTTATGGTTTACCCATACTGTTTTCCTAGTCCTCAGTGTTTCAGATTACATTTATACAGTTAAGTGGAGTGTAGTCAGAGAGCTGGCAAAGTCCAGCAGGACTTCAAGTGACCTGTAGTTCTGGCACAATAAGCCCAGCTCTTCTCAAAGCAACCCACTCTCCAGCATAAACTATTCCACAGACTTTCTGCATGGAAGATTTGGTCTCCCAAGAAGAAGCTGATGTCTAATTTACCCATCTCTGCTGTATTTGTGACCTCTAAGGAGGCAAGGTGGCAGAGTTTGGTGCAAATGTACACCTGCAACACATAGGGCAGTAGGGCAGAACACATTAGATGTACAAACACAGGTTCAGAAGCAAAAGAAGGCCACATCCTCTCCCAAACAGAATGGTTTGGGCTTGACACCAAGCTCTAGCCTGGGTTCAAAGGCAGTAGAGGAGTAGCCTCTGGCTTTTTGGTGTCTCTTTGCAAAACAGGAGTCACAGAACTTCGTTTTCTCAGAGGGTAGCTGTCAAGAAATATGCATTTTACTCTGGAGTGCCATTTATTGTGGCAACATGTCAAAACACAGATCTAAAAAGCAAAGGTGAACTTTTTGAAGAGTCATCCAATCCAAAGTATTTAGTAATTGAAGTAAGCCTTAACAAAACCAGGTGTAAAGGAAAACAGTTGAAGGAATGTAATTTAAAAAGCAGTTCCTTCTAGACTGCACAAGTTTTACTGTGTTATTATTAGTTCTCCAGTACTCAACTAAATGCATTCTGGAGTAAAGTGCTGTTTTGTAACATACAGAAACTGGAATGAACTTTTAAAAGTAAATATAATATATTTTAAATCTTATATCTTGGAAAGGACATGAATACAATTACTAGATACTGTATTTTCAAAAATAATTCTGCTGTTGGATGTCATCTGCATATGGCTATATAAGTCCTTATCTAGTTTAAAAAAAAAAGGAAGTTGATAAATCATGAAGGAAGGAAATACTGAGGTTTAAAACAGCCACAAATTTGTTTTTCTTCAGCTTATCATTTTGAAAACTCAACTGCTGTAATTCTGGATGAGTTGCCAGATTGTTTCCTTCATAATTCTGCCTCTCTCTTATCCATTCTTTAGGGATCAAAAACAAGCATATTAACTTCAGTCAGTGAACACGCAAATCAAACAAACACATTCCCCTAACTTTGGGCTCAGATTAATTCCACTGGTAGCCTTTGACCTTGATTTCCACAATGTCTTGCAAGGCATAAAGAAGCCTGACCTGGTATCAGAAAACTGCAGAGATTTGGTTTGGAAAAAAAATAGAGCCATCCTCATTGCTATTCCCTAAGTACTACATTAAAATCTATAAAACAAAGGGCTGAAATCTGAAGTTTAGGCCTTGGAGCCAGTTTCACAATCTGTTTCCTGTAGCCAGAGTTCATTTGGAGCCAGTGGAAAAAACAGTTTCTAAAAGATAAAAGGCAGTGCTGTGACTTTCAATCAATCTTGGCATTCAGTGTGTGAATATAGCTGTACCAAAGTCTAAAATACCAAGGCTCCAGCTCTGATTCTGGTTCACTCTACTGATCTTGGATTTATGTAGTCATTATCAGAGCTATCCAAAAACTCATGAGGGGAAAAATAAGATCTAACCAACTTCTGGAGATCAAAATTTGGAAAGAAATAAAGCAAACAGATGTGACATGCCCATTCACAGGAAAATGGGAGACCATAACGAGTGTCAGCAGAATGAGATGGGAAGCTGAAGTGGTAGCTAATGTAAAAACAAAACAAACAAAAAAACCCCCTCCAACGACATAAAAGGCACTGGCAGAATTATTTTCTTTGAACCCATCAGTTATGGTGGGTGGAGGCTTCGAGTGCTTAGAGACGTCAAGACTCATATTTATTACAGGTAGTGCTGATTTCAGCAGATACATTGTTCACAAGGGTGCCAAAGGCCTGGAGGAAGCAGCTGCGTGAAGCAGTCCAGGCCTGTCCACCCTACTGAACAATGGCAATGCAGCCTCCTTGCAGAAAAGATTTTATGGGAAAAAAGAGACTTGTCTTCCTTCAAAGGTACAGGTAAGTGCAAGTTTTAAAGAAACAATTCCAGAAAACAAAGGGATATCAGATGAAGAAATCAGATTCTTTACAAATAAGAGAGCTGTCGATGGATGGTGTTGGTGAGCCAGCTCAGGCTTTGCTCCTGGTCTCAGAAATGGTTTCTGTGTCTTTCTGTGGAATAACAGTAGCTTGTTCTGCATTTATCTTCAGTTTTGACATCTGAATTTTAGAATGGGAAATGTGTATATGAGAAGCTAAAAGTAATTATTCAAGACCCTATGTAGGCCCAATGTCCTGTTTCTAATTTACTGCCAAGTATTCTTTTGCCTTTCTGTATACTCAGAATTTTAGTTTCACGATTGCTTCAATCTGACAGCTGCAAACAGTTCTGCCCTTGTTTTCTTCTCCTCTTCTCTGCCAAGAGGTGAACTGGATCGAGGAACTGACTTGGCTGAAAGTTAAAATTTATCATAAACAGCACAATTTTTTTTCTGCAGGAAAAGCAAGGGAAACAGCAATGCCAGCCCCTTTAGTGGCAGATTACACTTAATCACAGAACGGCTGAGCTTGGCAGGGACCTCTGGAGACCATCTGGTCCAACCCTCCATTCAAGCAGGGTCACTCAGTCCAGGCAGCTCTTGAATATCCCCAAGGACAGCAAGTCCACAACCTCCCTGGGCAACCTGTGCCAGCTCTTGGTCACCCTCACAGTAAGGGATGTGCTTCCTGATGCCCAGAGGGAACCTCCTGTGTTTCAGTTTGAGTCCCTTGCCTCCGATACCGAGAAAACACCCTGGTTCCATCCTCACTGCACCTTCCCTCTAGGCACATATAAGCGTCCGGATATATACACGGGTAAGACTCCCCCCCTGAGCCTTCTCTTCTCCAGGCTCATCAGCCCCTGCACAACTGGGATTAAAAAAAATTCCCTGGGATTAATTTGGATAAAAACACGGAATTGTTGCTCAATGTGAATATTCTAGGGATTCCCCCTCCCGTCCCTCCTTCATCCCAAGTGATGAAGGGACTGTGTTTCGCTAGCACCGACAGTTTTTCCCTTCCCGCTGACACGCTAATTTAGGATACAGCCCAGGCTCCAGCTCTGACACGCCTTTGCGGTCGCTTGAAACAGGAGCGTGCTTAAATGCTTGCCGGTGCTACGGGGTCTCCTTCATCCCCGGCTGCCGCCAGCTATCGGCGATAGACCGCAGAATAGCCCCCAAACCCTAGCAGGCAGGATGATAGGAATACCGTGCACGCATCCCACAGAGAACGTACTCCCTTTCCCAGCAGGATCCTGGCTGTGAGCCGCACTACCTGCCGGGACACGTAGTCTTCCCCCCAAAGACCACGGAACTGCCCTTTGGTCGGACTACATATCCCAGCAG